CTGAAGAGACGACACAGCGGTGTTTACCCCGCTGCTACACATCGCATGCTCTGCCGCAAAGAGCCGGCCATTTCATCTAATTACATCAAAAACGCTAAATAGCGCACGGGAAAGCAATACACAGAGAAGGGAATAAATCCACTTTGTGCAAGTCTATGTCTCGCACCAGACGGATCATACATCACCTAGTCAATAATGCATATTTTTTTATGCGGCAGCCATGTTTTTTCTTTGAGTCTGCACTTTGTGTGCTCTTAATACTACTTTCTCCAAAGCGCTCCTGCTTGCCTTAAGCCCTTTTTGTTCTCTCCATGTCAAAGAGCCATTATCCATGGCCCAGCTCAATCCACACAGACCATCCATCAGCCCATCCCAGGACTGCTGCGGAGCTTTAACTGGACTTACATAGGCAGGTGGGGTAAAGGAAGACACAACAATAAATCACCGCCTCCACGACGACGCTCTGCTCACTGATACCTGATGCGTCTGCTGGAATTATAGCAGAGAATTCCCACTGGGATGAAATTCCCTTTTCCAGCCTTGGATGTTAGGATCCATTTCAGGTTGAGTCCCCAACTGTGTGCAACTCCACTTAAAAGAAAGTGGCCTCAAGGCTTCGATGCAGTCACAGGTGTTGATCATGCATGGGATAGAGTAACAATCAAGAGAGACCATTTTTTACCACATTTCCTGTCGCATGATCTTTTGCGTTAACTGCAGATCATTTGTAATACAGTAGAGGAAGAGGGGGTGTCCTTATCGGTGGCCCAGCAGTGAGAATCAGCCACCTGCCATTGTCAAAGTCATAATGATTTAACACACTATACAGTGAGAGAGGTGGCACACAAAAGGGACAATGAATGAATGAACAATGCAGATCAGATACAATATGGGAAAATAGGTCATGGAAGAAGTGGAGGGAAAGACTGAGTTGAATGGTCTGATCAAAAACAATAACACATTTAGGTTTCTATCCCTCAGGAATCAAAGAGTCATGTTTTTTCAGACCCATAATTATCTACAAATGCTTAGCAATTACACAGGAGGGATCCATCCTAACAGGTATATCAAATTACAGTAGCCTCTGTAGACCAGAATGCAATGCAACCACAAATAGTAATGTATGGGATTTGAGTGTGGGGGATCAGCCACTTGTGCATTTGCTCTCATCCTGTACAAATGATAACTTTGTGTAAGTACAGACCTGTCCTCTTAATGTTGTTGAAAGGTAATCTGGGAAATGCATGAAAGGATACACGGCCGTTTGAGGGGATATTACAACAATTCATTATAAAGAAACTCCTGAAAAACACTGTGCATGAATAACATTGAACAGTGTCAAAATATCTCAAAGTGGACTTTTCCTTTAAGAGTGTGAATCCCACTAGGACCAGAACTAAAAATGTACACGCTTGTGAAAGTGCTGCGGGTGAAAACCTTCCCCCAACGGCACGGATATGAAAACTCAGCTGACATCCAATCGTCTATAATCCAAACCGTTAATATCTGTAGGTGTCTCTATATACCACGTGTGTGTGTGTGTGTGTGTGTGTGTGTGTGTGTGTGTGTGTGTGTGTGTGTGTGTGTGTGTGTGCTTGAGTGCACCTGCTGAACTAGGACCCAGATCATGCATTGCACTGGAAAAAAAGAGGAGAGGCTGCCCTCCTTCTGCCTGTTTCAATCAGCTGTGCAGCCGGAGAGTAGCTGCATGGTCCATACTGTGCTTAAGCTAAGGCAGGCTATATCCAACACCGCTTCCACATTTCCTGGTTGTGTATTTGAATTGAAAACAATGGAGGTAAAAGAAAGTAAAAGTGCATGTTTTTTTAAAAGGCCTTACCCATACTATTCTGTGTGTGTGTGTGTGTGTGTGTGTGTGTGTGTGTGTGTGTGTGTGTGTGTGTGTGTGTGTGTGTGTGTGTGTGTGTGTGTGTGTGTGTGCGTGAAAGGCCAACAGGAAGAGCCGCCCTGTATCTGCAGCAGGAGAGAGTTGCCGTCGCCACGCGGGCTTGGTTAGCCATTTGTCTTTGTTTTTTTCAAACGGCTGGGGCAGCTGCCGCCAAAGGTCAGCTAAATGTTAGCAGAACAAGGCCCTATAGAGGCCAGGAGCACGTGCCTGTGACAAGAGGGGGACACACCCAGGTGGAGGGAGACAGTTTCCCTCTCGTATGACACACCCTGGCATCAAGGAGCTGGGTACTGATGCAGCTGCTGGTGGCCTTCTGCCGTTTATTCCCAACTCAAAGCAAGGTATGATCTTCGATAAGATAAAAAGGTTAGGATATACTTTACTGATCCTAAATTGGGAATACTGCCTGAACGCAATGACTTCAGCTCTTGTATGAGGTGCTGTATTACAGGCTTTTTAAATGGTTATGTTTGTTCATGCCATCAAAAGAAAAAAAAATGTGGGCATGCAAAATAAAATACTGAATCCAACACATTATAGGTACAATTAAACTGTTGGAATGCAGCCACAAGCCAACATTTTATAAGTGGGGATATCAGGTTACACAGTCCCCTCCGGGTCTCCATCCATGTGTTGAAGTTTGCGTTTGAAGTGCCATCCTCCCCCCTGCCTTCCTTTACCCACCTACACCCCCGGCTGTAACACAACCTGGGTAAACTTACACCAACCACCCCTCAGAGTCTGTCTCTGGAGCTTTTGTGCAGAGCAGACTAGTGCCCAGGGACATGGGTGGGTGGGTGGGTGGGTGGAGGTCAGACATGGCCCTTTGAAACTCGCACGACACAGTAAAGTGCTGATGGATGCATGGACTTTGCAGATGCCAACACACACACATCTTTCTTCTCCTCTCATGGGATCACTCCTCAAGTCCAACATTTATTTGACAACTGTTTTTCTCATCTAATCAACTACATCCCGAGGAAATCCAGCGTACGCAAAAAATAGAGGATACAGAGAGATGGATGGAGGAAAACAGACGGGCTGCTTTTTTTTTTTTCTTCTTCCCTTCCACTTCTGGCAAAACAAGACAGAGTGCATGAATGAGAAAACCATCCATGTTCCTGGTGATGTGTTTCGAGCCCTTTCGGTTCTCCCTTCAAAAGCCTCGGGTAAAAAAAGCTGACTGTGAAAAATCCCGTACGTGTGTTTTTAAACGGGAGCAGTGAAATGACACGCTCGCTTCTAACATGTGTTTTACCTTGTGGCTGGAAATGTAATCCATGACGGAGCTTTTTAGGACTGAGCTGTATACCATACGGCCTGAACGCAATGACTTCAGGACTACACAGCCTTGTGAATGCCTTGTTGCTGCATGTCTAGCCGTTTGTGTTTGTACTTATGCCATCACAACAAAATCCTGTTCTTTAGCACATAAATGTGTGCAAATGTGCCTCTAACAATAAACACAGCCATTCCTGTAACCCCTCCTTCTAAACGGTTGATAACAAATGTTCCTTCATTCATAACCAGACACAGGATACAGAGACACAATAACAAAACCCCAAGGGAAAACAGCATGGTTTTCCAGATGTGCTCGTGCAATCACTCATTTTCTGTCCTCTGCTGTGTCCCCGACCAGACAGTAAATTACATCTGACACCGAACTCTATTTTCCTCTTGTAAAAAAACAACAAGCTTAAGGGCATCTGCCTGAGGGGAGGCGACCAGAAGGCCGGTAGTTATGTTCATCCCATTAACTGCACTGTAAGCGAATGGCTGCATTGTTGCAGCCCTGTCCCATGCCCAGGATAATGTGCTTCTAGTCTAGTGCTTTGTGGATGCAAATCAAGCGTGCCTTAAGGACACAGACAGCCCATTATAATGCCACCGTGGGGAATAAAGGCAGGGCCAAGTGGCGTCTTTACTGGCCATTTGTGTGTTTGTTTTGTGTATTCACCCCTGAACAGACAGTGAGAAAACTGTCCTCGCCTGGCCTTGGTAGTGTAAATAACACACACACACACAGGGAATGTTTACCGTGCTAACCTGGGTACATATGGCCCGGTGGCATGGTCTGCAGCCCCTCTACAAATGACCTTTGACCCCTACTGTCATGAAGGGGTCATTATCTTTCCTGTGTTAATGTCTGAAGCATCCAAGACTGGGGCTAAAGAAGGAACACTGAGTACTTGGTTTAACCTCCATGTTATTCTGACAGTATCAGAGTATCAGAATATGACCTTAAGCTTGAACTTTTTTTTATAAGACTCTATAGAAATGTGTTGTGTACAAAATAATCTGGTTTTGAAGGTAATTCCTCTGGCTAAAGTGGGTGCTAATGTGAGACTGGTGATAGCCACTGGCCAAACTGGCTCGCCAGTGTGCTGCCGGAGGCGACATCCAACAATGGGAAATAAAACGGAGCTGCAGTGATGGAGGTGACTGATAATGGGCTCAACAGAACCACACTAACATACATTACCACGTATGTAACCAGACATAAAAAAATGTAGTGTTTGACAAATGCACTGGTAAAATACAGACATTAACGCGACAAAAGCATCGGCCATTAGTAGTACCAGCCTCCTCCCTCTGAACAGGGTGGAGACACACATCTCTGTCACAGATGCAAGGGAGGAAAATGAGGGGTTTAATATCAGAAAAAGAGTGCCTGGGCTCGGCTTTGGCAACATAAGAGCAACACAACAAAAGGTTTAATGCCTCTCCCATATGGAAAGCTGCGGCTCTTTTCCCAGTCGGCCCAAACGCTGCACGCCCTTTCTCCCCAAGAAAGGGATTGTTCAATGGCCGCATAGGGGGCACACAAACCCCCCATTCAAACACCCTGCCACACAACACACACTTTCCTCTAACAGGGAACGACACATACACAATGTATCGTCTCTTAATACCTAGCGGTGCTTGCTTTAGTGTGGTTAACATAAGAGTACAGCCTCGAACCACCCAGGTTGATAAATGCTCGTTTATTTAGGATTGACATTGGTAGTTTCTCAACATGCTTATTTAAAAGAGAGGAAAAGGGAGATAGGGTGTGAAAACCTCCAGGAATAATAAAGAAATATCCACTTACAGTCAGACGGGATTCACAAAGAGGCTCCTTTCCTGTGTTCTCCAATGGGAGAGCAGATATCCCTGCCCTCGGGGGGAGGAATGAGGAGACTCCTGATATGATGGGTTTAATTATGATTTTAGAAGATATATCTAGTTAAAAACAGCCCGTTATCCTCATGTTTTCACCCGTCGTCGCCTCGTCTACACACACAATCCCGGTCCCTCTCCCATTCTTCTCTCCCTGCTGAGGAGGGAGACACGCTGCGCGTCTCCGTCGTTTCCTGTCCAGCCCCGCGCTGCCTTCAGGGGCCGTCGGAAATATCTCATATTGGAGCTGATCGCAGAGAAAATGAATGACCGAGCAAAACAGGGCGATATGAATATGTCCAACTGGGAAATAGATAAATTCCACTGTTACCCAAAATGAATATTTGACAAATAAAGTATATTTTTCTGATGATTAAAGGGTTAAAAAAAAGTATACCCTGAAAGTAGGAGTTTTGGAGGAACAGTGAAGGCAGCATCAGTTTCCAGCAGCTATTCCCTAACAAAATAATAATAAATACAATAATTATAATAATACAAAAAGAAGAAGAGTACTTTCTGTAAAAAATAGTTTACAAGTTGATAAAAAAAAAGGTTTTATATATCACCCACACTGCGGGGGTTCCTGCTGATGCTCCCTAAAGCCACCCCCAGCAGACAAAAGGGGACTGGTTCCAGATTAGGAGATTATTGCATGTTATCCATATGGACACATGGCATTACTAACCCGTCAATCCCCCCTCATCCATTTTCTGAATCAGAATTACAGACAACATTTGTGAAATGTCATAATCCCCATTTCCAAATCCCATGAATTTGCCACCATGTGTTCCAACAGAGTAAACATTTTCTACCCTTTTGTGGTCTCCAATCCCTGCTCTCGGCTGGTAAACCTGAAGAAGATTAAATGTTTGCAATTAATATACATTTGTATCTGCAAAGCATGTGTTGTGGCTTGTAACAGAAGACAACTAAAGAAATAAAGGGATGTGTCGCCATCTAGTGGACAAACAAAGACATTGCTTTTTTTCTCATCCCCATTTTTTTTATACAATCATTTTTCTTTTCACTTTAACAAAGTGTACATGTTATGAGTATTTATGTGTCATACTCATAGACTGTATATATGAAGGTCATACTCAATGACTCACACAGTGTAAAGAGAGTGTGTTATTCGCAGACATTTTCTCTGCCAGTCAGCTAATGTTGGGAGACACACGTCAGTTTAGTGTTCAGAAAACATTTAAACATGGAACACCAGGTCATTGCACTTTTGGTCACTCACTTTACCCTCAAACTGTGCAACATTCAGCTACACAGCAGATGGGAATTTTACTATACTTTAACTTTCATGCTTCATATTTTACAAGGTATTCTAGTAAATGTAGATACTTAACTAAGAGTTGTTCAAAGGTGTGCTTTTCCTTCCACTGTTTTAATCTTTGTCTCCACACAATGATGCAATATAACACATAATTGGTTCACAGATCCTTCTTGCTTTATGTCTAAATTAACACAGTTAAATTAACAAAATGTGTAAGGCATCAAAGGTCACAATCTCTGGGAGAGAGCGGAAACTTGAGCAGAGGAGGCGTTTCTCTGCCACAGGATGTTTTCCCTCACGAGAGGATGTGTATCTGCACTCTCTGCACCGCCGTGGGAGTGTTGTAATCACACACACTGAGGCATTGTAGTCAAATGAACACTTCCATTGAACCCGGGTTGGTAATATCGCAGTACCTGATCACATTTATCTGCAGCGTTTACAGTGTGCTGAAGGAGCTCGACCTGTGTTAGGTGATGAGGTAGAGGCGAGTTGTGCAGAAGATGAAGGCTTGCTGGATGTTCATGATCCTCCTGAGCTGCAGGTTATCTCAGGCTGACAAAACACGTAAGTTTAGTCATTCATATACTCATAATTATTAGGATTCATGTGGTAGGAGAACACTGTATATCTAGGGTTGATTGCTAAGTTTATGCATGTAAAATGTGGGATTTTAAATCAGAAATATCAGAGATGTGCCCCATCCTGAATATATCTCATTGGCTGTTTATATATTGGTTGGTGCCTAAGAGGATACTTTAAGTCTAAAAATGTCGGCTGAATTTGTGGGTTGAGATTTTTCTATGTAAACAAGTCAACAGGGAGATTTGAAAATAAAGCGTTGCCTCAATTTAAAGACTATAACAGTTTACAGAGAGTCTCTATTTCAATTCCAATACATCACGTAAATCAAGACCTCCACCTCTTGAGTGGCATCATTGAGTCATTCAGTGATTCTTGTGAAATGTGGGTAAAAGAGGCAAATGTGCTGCTTTTGAATCAAATCCGTGTGGGGGTGGAGGTGCACTGAAATGATGAGGTCCAAAGTGTTAATTTCACTTAGCTTATAAATCAATGTTTGCAGGAGTGTTGGCTGTGAATGGACGTTTCCTTTGCAAGTTGTTTGGTTTTGGTTTCACATTGGTGTGAAAGACACATATTTTCAGAATATATTATCAACATTTTTCTCTGCAGAAGAGCTGAAAATTATCTGCGTACCTTTCGGAGGCGATGCTCCCGTGCCTTGCCCGGAGCTGAACCAGCGAGACGCGACCTTGAACCTCCTCAAGAACGAAGAATCGATTTCCAAGCAAAATTGGATCTGCAGTGGAAACACCACATGGAAACCTCCGACCAAGGCAGAAGTCGAACTACATGAAAACAGAGAACATAAATCAGTGCATTTCATGCTGACGGGAGTGAATGCCAGCAGCTTCGGTCTCTACAGATGTGAGGCCACAGTCTTTCACCCCCCTCCCATTGAGACAATGCCAAGTACTGTGTTCATCCTGGTACAAGTAGAAGGTAAATATCTCTTAAAGGTTGGAAGGAAACAGGGGAATATTTATAATTGTGTGCATATAGTCACTGAATATGTTTCCTCCAGGACATCAATGCAGTTTGAACACAAAAGCAGGTGGAGGTCAAACTGATGGACTTCTCTGGATTTGGATTCTGGGGCTTGTAGTCCTTGGCATTTACGGCGTAACTGCCACTATCATTGCAGGCATCTTCTGGGTAAGATCACGTAACACTACATGAGTCTGGAAGGAAACCGGTATTTAAACTACAGAGCAACAGCCATTGTCCTTTTATGACCCTTTCTATAGTGTATGTCAAATGTTCGAATGTATGTCTTTGAAACTAAGGAAGCATTTCAAAATACAACAAGAACCTCTGAGCTTTTTAGAGCTGGAGAAATAGATAATTAAACTAGATGCACACCAAAAAAGAGACATATATTGTTCTTAAAATATTGTAAGACTGTCTTGTTCAATATATTGAAATGCTTTAATATTTTACTCATGTGTTTCTTATTCATTCAAAAACGTTTTTCTTTGAAATTATGAAAGGTACGTCAGGTACCCAAATCCCCAGAAGACATGTCCCTTTCGTCCTCACTGATATGACATTATGACCATGTGGGTATGGTAGTGCATTATATATGATGCTGTTCTCTTACAGGTGAAGTGGAGGAGCTCAGAGTCCCACACTGACTACATGAACACCAAACCCAAAGCACCCCGGGACCGCAGGAAGAACAAATGGGTCCAGAATCCTGGACCAAGGCACTTCAGTTAACGTTACCCCTGTTAGTGTACATATAAAAACACAGGTGTCCGTGAAGTAGCTCAGGTTGTTAAGTTCATTGTTCTTTCTCTGTACTTGTCTACATAGCAAAAGCTCTTTTTATATCCGTTTTTTTAAAGAATACAATTCTTAGGATTGCACTGATCTGCAGCAGGAACCCCTCTGTGGTTGAAACAGATCCATGCGTCTGAATGAGGGGATTTGACCTCATTACAAATCCTGTGTGGTGAATCACGAGTGACCACCATTTCGAAATAAATAATAAAACATTCTACTAACTCTGGTGTGAATCTCTTTCCACGCTCATTTCTGAGAAACACAGAAACACCAGTTCGGAGTTTATAAGGAGAGGCAAACAATAATGTGCACGGTTTCCTGTGTGCTTCAAAGAAACTACCTTTACACTGCTCACCTTGCAGTTTCTGTGCGAGCACACAGATTTTTATGGGTTTCATTCAGCAGCTTACTCATCAACCGCCACCATGTTGTTTCTGTTAGGCTTTGAACAAATTGCAGACGGATGATTAATAACAAATGAGATGCAGATTTTTCACCCTTAGAAAAGAAAACGCCCAAACCAGAGCACATTTATAACAATACTTTATTTGTTTCTCTTCCTCATTCTATACAAAGCTATAAATAGCTAACCACAACCTGTGTGTTCATGATGATTACACAGTTTGTGACTCCTGGTTAGTGTTTAGGTTTAGTTTCTCCACTTCAGCTTGTGATCTGAGTTCTGGAAAAATCCGACCCCTGAGGAAATCCGTCCTCTTTTCCTCTGGCGTAGATTGCAGCTCCTGCTCCGTCACCTGGAGGACAGGAAGAGGATAACGTACATTGTGTTACTCTAACTTCGTCAAGTGCTATCAGTATAATTTGTCTTCCGATCAAATGTTAGCAAGCGATTGTCAAACGAGGAACTGTGGGTGAAGGAAGGTTTCATTTAAGAGGCTACAGGAAATGAAGAAATCAATATTATTCTGACACTTAAAGTAACAGTTTAAACTCGATCCTTAGAAAAGACAGAGGCAAACTGTAATCGTCTCTCAGTCTCACCCAGACAGGGTCATATCCGAGGGTCTTCAGGTGGCGCATCTTGAGAGCCAGAATGCCGCGGGGATGGGACGTGCCAAAGCAGAAACTAGAGTGTGCTGGGAAAAGGACTGCAATCCTAGGACGGGGGAAAGCGGTGTTTGGTTAAAAGACAACTAACCTTTACACAGCAGGGTTATTACATTTATTTGATTTTTTTTAATAGGTTTTTTTGTCTTGGTTTCAAATTAAAAAAGCGTTTTTAAAACATATGGAAGTTATATTTGTTTAGCTGTTGGTAGTTGCTGGATAAGCCTTTTAAACACATCATTTTCAACCATGTCTTACATTGTTACCAGCCTGTGTTCCTCAGTGAAAGCAAGTGACAAAAGGTTGTACCTGAATATCCTATGAGTTCAAAATGATATTAAAGCATCTGTAAAAAAGGTTGTGGAATCAGATTTGCCCGGCTGAACACCCTCTCCACCTTTTGTCACGACGAACTCACATAATCACGATAGATCAAAAAGAAAATACCAACGAAGACGTGTTAAAGAGTCAGCTGAGGTTATCTCCTGCAGACTGATCTTACCTCGGTCTGCTCTCTGCACTGCCGCTATCAGTCTCAGACGGCAGAGGTTTGGTTATCACTCCATCTACGAGTCACAAGCGAAATACTTCAGTTATCTTAGCAAGTGGAGCAAGGCAAATAAAGAAGTATTCCAGATAGTGTTTACCTATGAAGTAGAAGCCCAACAGCAACACCCTCTCCTGCAGAGTGGTGTTCGCCTGGTCCTCCATCATGCTCTGCAGGCACTGCAAGAGCTCCGGGATCACAGCTCGACTGTCCAGGGCGGGGGCTCCCATGACAGTGGGGGGCACCGTCAGGGGCTGAGGGAACGCAGGATGCTCAAGATGGAGGCACAAGTTCACCGTCTGAAACATCCTCTCCTGGTTGGGGACGTAATTGGGATCTGAGGAGAAAAATAATCAGATAAATGAACTCCAAAAAGGTCCAAGTGTGGGGGGAATACAAAAAAAAGATTGTGTTTGTCTTACCTGTGAATTTAAACTTCTCCAGTGTGCTGCTCTGCAGGAGGGGCTCCAGGAGTGCAGAGGGGAAGTGGCCCAGTAGACACAGATGATAGACCACCTTCAACAACTCAAAGCTGGACATCTTGGGCATATAGGAGACCAGAGCCGGGATCAGACTATCCAGGAACCTGCCACAGCAAAAAGCAAACCAATTGTCATTTAAATGATGCATTAAAAAATGTTTTAAACCAGACTTTATACAAAAACCTACCACAAATGGGTTAGGGTTGCTCACAAACAAAGAAATTCTAAATAAATAATATTTGTTTAATAAAAAAAGGTTACAGAAATCCTAACTAAAAAAAGAGCAAGTTGCTATATCTACTGCTAAATATGAATGTTAGGCCTGTGTATGAGCATCATTTGAAGCCATGCGAGTGACCTACTGCTGTCTCCTGTGCTGCAGATCGTAGTTGAGAGTGGAGTAAACCTTGACCACACAGAGCAGGTCTTTCAGTGACAGAGCTTTGGGATTTTCTATCACTTTTCCAGCGAATGCCTCCATTAATGCGGCGGGACAGAAGGCGAGCCTCTCACACACATACAGGAAGAGGACCACCTGAACAGACAGGGAGACACTTTTAAAAACACTTAAAGACAGGGTTCATACACTTTTTCACCAATGATTTTCAATGACTTCTCCATGACCGTTACCTAATTTTCCATGACCTAAAAAAATTACTCTTTCTCAGCGGTACCACTGAAAATGGTTTATTTTAACATGGAACAGGAAAATAAGGTCTGAAACATGTTGTGCCTATCTAAAACAAATCCAATAGTTGGCTTACTAGCTTCTACAGCTACTAATTAAAATCTCTCACCAGCAAAATACCTCATCAGTTAAATGCCATTTTACGTCTCATTACTATATGATACAATATTTATTATCATAATAGTATTACTATTTCGGCGATTAGATAAAATATAAATTATATTTGATGCAACTTTAGTTCAATTTCCATAAATATTGTTTTCCATAACTTTTCCAGGGCCTGGAATTAGCATTTAGAATTTCCATGACTTTTCCAGGTTTTTAATGACCGTAAGAACCCTGTAAAGATAGATTCTTGCTTAGCCGTTTGTATTATTGAGATTTTACGAGGGTTCTGTTGCAGCACCTGTCTTTTAGTCCATATGTCGATCATAGAGGCGGCGTGTTCTGACAAGTCAGTGAGCAGCTTCAAGTCTTTGTATTGCAGCAGCCTGTACGACTGCAAGGTTTCAAACAGCGGGTTGAAGGGGATCCCATTGATGTTTTCTACCAAAGGAGGGATTAGCAGGTTAATCAAACAATGAGAAAATACTTCTGATTTCATTTATAGACTAGAATTCAGAGCCGTGTTTACCTTGAATTATCTTACTGCAGATGCCCAGCAGTGGTTTGGAGTGCAACTTCATTGTGGCCATAGCGGTGATTATGTGCTGGGAGTCTAGAAGGTTGAAGTCATTCGACATTGATAAGGCCTTCTCCTGGAGGAAGCAGGGGACAGATTGAGTCAATGGGGAATGGATTCAGTTACATAGACAGTGAAATACACATTTCTTGGTCATGCCCTGTAGTTTATAAATATTATGATATTTCAATGAGATAGCTGTTATTAGATATGAACTATCTAATAATAAATAGTCAAGGACATTTCTGCACAATTATAAACTTCGAGAAATTTAGAATCAAATAAATCAGGGTCTAAACACTAAATATGGTTAAAACCAGGACTCATACACCAACCTCGAATTTGCGTTTGAGGCCCATTGTGGCGTCTTTGCCCAACATGCGCATCATATTCTGCAGAGCCTGTACGTTCTTGATGTCGGGAAGACGGGCCTCAACCACCATCCTAGGACACAGCCACAAAAAAACGAAAATGTTTCCAAATCTGAAAAAAAAGTTGTCATGTAAATATCTCAAGGGGTCTTCCTAACAACAACAACACAATCCTGACCTCAAGCCATCCTTCAGTGCGTCAGTGTTGTTGCTGGGCTCCAGGTGTAGCATACAGGAGGCCAAGATGGACAAGCTCTTCTCATCAAAGTCATTCAGATTCTCCTGTTAGTGGACAATAACATTAACTTGGGTTAAAAACAAAAACATTTCCAAATGGAAAATTACATTTCCTTGATGGTCAATCTTTCGCAAACTACCTGGCAGCTTCGGAGAAAAGTCTGGATCACACGGCTGCTCTGAGGAACCCCAAGATTGACCATACTCAGGAGAGAATAAGCTATGTCTCCATTGCCCATTCGCCCCACACTCGTCATGGCTTGTTGCAGCAGCACGTTAAAACCAGGATGCTCAAACATGAGCTGCAGCTCGTAGCGCTGGTTATCAGCCGGCATCTTCTTAGTACTGAACCAGATTTGGCACAGGCACGAGCTGATCTGCTTAAACGTGGGTGCATGTTCGGAGGTGAGCTCCAACACGTCTGACGGGGAGCCACAGCTTTTCAGGCGGTTCATTAAAGATATAGTCCACTGTGTCTCCTTTGGGGCCGTCTTTTCAGATTGGTTCTCATCGGGCAGCGAATACTTTGCCAGGGGAGAGGAAAGAGGCTCCTTCTCTTCCAGGACCTCACTGTGAATCGTCCCCTTTGAGTAGAACCTCACTGAACTCACACGGTTGCTTTCCAGGCATGTCTGATGGTGCTTTGTGCCCCATATGCGTGCTAACTGCTGACTGGGGAAAGATGTGTATTTGGGTGATTTCTTCCCCATTAGATTGCTCTGTTGCCATAGAGACCTGCGGCTGCAAAGGCATCCCCATCTCATTACCTCTTTTGTCACCCAGGCAGACATTGTACTGTAATGACTTAGGGGACGAGATAGAAAGAGTCCTTGTGTGCTTAATGTCCTATGTGAAGGAAAAATCTCAATCAGGTATTTAGCTAGTAATTTCAGTAAAATGTAAAAAGTATGGCATTTATTTCTAAATTAGCTTCAGTCAACACTTTATTTACATTATTGGCCACATAGACGGTTACTTCAAATAAGTAATTAGTAAAAATGAAGTATTACAAAGTACTATGACTGAAGATAAACACAAGGTCAACGGACTGGCTCCTCCAAAAACACTGGCTAGCTCACATTATCTAATGTTAGCAAAGTGACGCACCATACCTTATTACTCCAACATACAAGTAACTGTCATAAAGAAACACACGGCACTTACTAAAACATGTTCAATTTGAGTTGAAATGTGTTAAAGTAAGGGACACAGGGCTACATTACACTAAACCGATACTAATATTTGCTAGCACTCCCATGCGCTGCTCCGTGCTGTGTGCGCTGCCATATTAAGTCCCCCTGTCAACCCGGTTCAGTACGAACTGTCACAATATAGTAAAAAATGGTCATTGTAAATATACAATGTGTCAAGTAAAATATTTATCACGCTTTATACCACTAAATGGTGTACATATTTAATGATAGGCCTCCTATTTATCACAATAACAGGCCCTGGTTTTATGTTTGCTTGCAGCGCTTCCTACACGGACTCAAATAAGCGCTACACCCACAGTTTCCTAGCAACCGACGCCATCCGGGATGCAATGGCTAAATTTGTGCTCGCTGGTAAAGTGTGATCTAACTCATTTTCTTTTAACGTGTTGATGTAGAATATAAAACATATAACTGCTACACTTGTTATCTCTTCAGGCAAAACTGACTGCCCACATTACGCCAAAGCGGAACTATTAGCAGACAGTCTGCAGAGATGTCTGCCAAACTTCAGGATCCACAAGATCTCAGTCCTTCCACATGCATGGAAGGTAATATTGCTTATTTTTAAACTATATTAAGTCTCTTTGACTTACAAATCATCAGTATAATTATCCTGTTTCCTCTCACTTGTCTCTCGATAGGAATGGCTCGAGGACACCTGCACAAGAAATGGCTGGAAACACGAGCAGTCCCCTTTGGTTTGGAGGGAGCTGGTGGACCAAGGGGGGAAAGCGATGCTTTTAGGGGGGTTTAGTGACTTCCTAGAGCATTGTCAGGTATATAACCCTTCAAAATCCCTTATAAACCTACAGTAAATCCTGTTATGCTGCATCATTTCTGTCCCCATTAATGACTTCCTTATATGTTCTTTAAACTGTGAGAAATATGTATAACAAATGGCTTGGATTATAGGTTTAGGTCTGCCACATGTTATTTTTGTCATCCTTTGTTGTGCAGGACTATTACAGCGTCACATCAGATATGCTTACAGATATCATGCTGAGTGTTGCATCAGAGAATCTGGAAACCAAGATGAACTCAATCGTAGAGGAGCAACATCGTGTCAGTCTTATTAAACCCCTTCATATATGGCTCAGCAGGTTGGTTTGAAATTAAAATTAAAAAGATGAAAACAAATTTAAGTGTCAGCTGACAGATTGGGTATTTCCAGCGCTCTCAGCCCAACCGGCCACTTCCTGATCCCCAACCTGCTCTCTGCTGAGGTGTTCCCCAACACTTCAGCTATCAGCCTCCACCTTTTAAACCTGGAGGGGAAAGAGGAGCAACTTCAGTGGCTTAGGATGGAGACGGAGAACCTGGCACTCCCTCTGCTATATCAAGTATGCTTCTTTTTGGAGACTATTTTTAAACCTAATCAGAAGGAAAATGAAGCCATCTAACTGTATTCATTCACAGGTGACCATTCACACAGATCTGGAACAGGCCTTTAAAGAAGCTGATGTCATTCTACTTCAGGATGAGTGTTGGTCTGATGACAGTGATACAGAAGATGAGGAGGAAATGAAGAGGAAGGTGAAGAGAATCTCAGACAGATACAGAGAGTATGGACAGCTGATTGACACACGGGCCAACAGGGAGGTAAAGGTCATCGTGTCTGGGGACTCCTTTGTCAACCTGAGATGCTCACTGCTTTTGGACAACGTAAACGTGATTGACAGCAACCAATTTGTCACCGTGGCAACTCAGCTGGAGAATGAAGCGAGGGCCATCATCGCAAGGAAGCTGAAAGTGAGGACGTCAGGTAGGAAATTCTCCCTCTGTACAATAGGTATTTTAAATACATCACCTTCTTAAGCAAGATGAATGATCCCTTCCTTCTGCTGTAGATGTCACACACGTCATTGTGTGGGGAAACATCAGCGGCAGTTTCTATATTGACCTCCAGAGAGCAAAGGTTTTCAACTATGATGGGCCAATCAAAGGACCAGCTTACTTTTCCCAACCAGCCAAAAACATCCTCCAAGAAAGGTTTGTCATAATTAAAAGTTAATTATATGAAATGGCAAAACCGCCAACCAAACCGTACCCTGCAGGGGATTCAGTTCAATGTACAGTTGAAACGTCCCCACAAAAGTGATGAATCTCCTTCTCTTCCAGGAAATGGTTGGAAACCGACTTCCAGGAGTTGGTGCGTTGTCAGCGTGCAGCTGTGGCTTCAAAGACCTGCCGTGCTGCTCCCATGTCGCTCGCTAATGGGATCCTTGAGGTCCTAAAGGCGTGGAATGGCATTTGTGGTCCAGATGAGATCTTCTCTTTGGGAGTGCTTTGCCCAGGTGAGGATACAATCATCTCAGACATTGATTTTGGCTGATCTCGTGTTTGAACTAATCTCCTTTGGATGCTTGTAGGTGACTATAATCTCCCAGGTGGCATCGTCCTCTCAGTCCCGGTCATTTTCACACACAGGAAGTGGTCCGTGCTGTCTGATGTGACACGTGAAGACAATTTGAAGAAGAGACTTGAGATTGCGGCGAGTGAACTCCGGCAGGTTTGTGAAATTACACACAAATGAACAATGGTGCTCACAATCTGACATATCATGGTGTTTAAAACAAATTCTAACAGGATTTTCTTCCCCAGGAGAAAGAACTGATCGGTTGCGAGCGATACATAACAAAGAGTTAATGGACGATTAAAACAACAGAGTAAAACATGATGAAGTAATCCAGAAGAATCTCACTGCCACATCTTATTTTTGTTTCAGTTTGTACTTTTATTCTCAAACTTTCACATGTGGTGTTGCAGTTTTATTTGACCAGTTTCATGACAATAAAGTGTGTTCCGCTTTGTGAAACCCGTCCGTTGCTGTTATATTTTCAGATGTAAAAGACCAAACTGAGTACTTTATGGAAAAGGAGAAATTAGAAAATATATTCCTTTTTCTTTAATTGTACATTTCAATAAGTGCCTTTTTTATAGTTCAAGAAGCGATATTTTTAAGCATAAAACACACGACTACAATACATAAACTAGTCTGTTAATATCCTAAATCTGATGTAATCCCTGGCCTTTACAGTTGGAGACTTCCCCTTTGTTGGTAATGAAATATAAACAAACTAGATTTAATGGGCTCTTTTAACCTGAAACATTCAAATTGATTTTTCTTTCCTCACAAATTGTGCAATACTTTGTCAGTCGACAAGGAGAACTTGAACAGAGCGCTGTTTTCACATGCAGAATATACACGTTCCTTTTTAGCATTTCTACACTATACACAAGGAGGCATCGACTGAAAAAGGACGGGTTAGTACAAATACAGTGCTGCGACAAGTCGGGAAATGGACACACATTCTGCCACGGTATGTTCAATTTGTACAACCCACCCCTGAGATTCGGATGCCGAGTGGTTTACAAAAAGCAAAACCGGCCTCTTGATACAGTCGAGCATAGTGCTGGATTTCTTTTTGTCATTTTCTAACATTTTAAATTGCAATGTCCCTCAAAAAAAAGAATCTGCTCCAATAATCCTTTAAAAATGTGCCTCAAATCATGATCATGGTTAACACGTGCGCGATGCATGGACATGCACTTGTCGTGGCACAAAGGAGGTTATTTGGTAAATATACATATCCCAGTGATGACTTGACAAGGGAAAGAAAGTTGGGGCTTTTATGACAACACTTCAATCAATAGAGTTGTAAATCAAGGGTAAAGTCAATTACGTATGGATGGACTCTCTTGATAAAAAAGAGGCATCAATTACAGAGGAACATTTCTTTTATCTTGCCACAAAGTCACTTGTGTGTACGGGTAAAGATCTACTACTGTTCAACATCCAACAAAGTCAACGTTTCCATTTCCAGGCAACAAGTGAAAGACCGCTAATGACTGAGTGCTTCTGTCAGAAATCTAACCTTGGAGACCTTGGAGGTGAGGATAAGGTGAAGGACTATTGTTCCACTACTCTAACTCCGGGAATACATTATATCGTACAATCATTATGGGCAATTTAGGAGATTGAATTTAGTTTTAAACTCCCCCTAAGCTTAACAATAAACCGACTGACTGTTAAATAAAATAATTTATAGCATATATTATTAGTTATATCATCCAACAACTCTCCATAGACCCATCTGACTAACATCTGAATGAAAACAAGGTGGAAGGGTTACGCTCTTAGCCAAGGGGGGAAATAAAGGCATCATTATTCTGACAGGAAGAAATGTACCTGCTTTTTAAATCAAGCAGATTTCAATGTGAGATGAACCAAATCCAGATTTCAAATACATTGCAACCTCTGAAAATAATGATGTCTATGGTTTAAAGCCAGTTTTAAAGCGAGGCTGAACAGACCCTTGTAATCTCCACATGTTCCCCCTTATCAGCGACCGACAGTATTCAACGGCTAACTTTGATAAATGCTTTGTATATAGCAGTATGTGTGAAGATAATGTAGGTCTAACGTACACATAAAAACAAAAACACAAGGGGGTGAGGCAACAGGGAAGCTATGACTGTGGTGGCTGCTGAGGAGACAGAGGGGTCTCACCACCCCCCCGCCTGTCTGTCAGAGGTAAGGTCCAGCCCCTCGTCATACTGCTCCAGTTCACTTTGGTCCAGAAGCTCAAAGTCCTCTTCTTCGGTGGGAACCAGTGTGTCGTCGGGGACGTCCTCGCCGACGCCGCTTTCCGCCGCTTCGTCCAGGACCTCGCCGGCCTCTACTGTAGTGATCTCGGTGGTAGGGGTCTCCAGAGGGCCCGGGGGGGTTTCAGTGGGGAGGAACTCAGCCAGGGAGGGGTCCTCGCTGGAGCGCAGCAGGGCCGACAGAGTGTTCTGCACCACGGTGGAGATGGCCGTGCTCACTATCTCCTCGCTCAGTGCCTCCAACGACTGCTGTGCATCCTGGGTAACCGCATCTTCCTTCCCGTCTCCCGCCTGTCTCCCCGCTGCCTCCCCTCCCTCGCCCCCGGGTGGTACACCGTGGCCGTTGAAGTGCGTGTTCACAAAGTGGAGCGGAGAAGCGAGGTGCTGGATGAGGAGGCTGATGGGGCTCAGCAGCTCCCCCTCTGGCGGAGCACCGGCCTGGGCTCCGTCTCCCTGACCGCTGCCCCGCAGAGGGAAGTGGAGCTCCATGGACGGGAACTCCTCCACTGAGGGGAACTCGGGGAGGTCCCTCATGTAGGCCTCCTCCGGGTCGCTGTGTACACTCTGCTGGTCCAGATCTGTGGGAGAGATGAGATGGCAAAAAACGTTTGATCATATAAGCGGAATATCATTCACAGAGCAAGGCGTGTATGGTTGAAAATGACAGTAAAAGGACAAAATGTGAACATCCTGTAATTACCCAGAATGACAAAGGGCATAGTTTGGGCATAAAGGGATGTTGAGATGAGGATCCTTTACCTTCAGAGAGGTCCGTGAGTTGAGGAGTGGTGGCTCTGGACACGGAGAAGCCCCCACTCTCCAGGATGGACGCCTCCTCGTCTGACAGCTCGGAGTCTGTGATGGCCATCGCCAGAGCGGTGGTCTTCGCATCCACCTGACCAACACAAAAAACACAGCGTTATCACTGCTATAACCATGCCCGGCGCCGTGGGAGGGCCAGGGAGGGCCAGGCCCTCCCATTTGACATTCCTGCCCTCCCCCAATAAACACGATTTTATTATTTATAAAAATTAAAATAATATTTTAATTTTAATTTTTTTAATTATAAATAAACTGTGAACTTTTATGCTACGATGTATGTGATGTCAGATAGTAGGCTACTAAAACAAAAAAATCGCAGGCTACGTCAAATAAAGGCATGTGTCTGTTGTGATTTGTGATTCGTCCACATTTAGACCAATCACAGCGTCACACTCTGCCGCCTATTCTGGATTTGTTTATTGTGCATTCTGTAGACTCCCATTTCTGTTTGAATTACAAAATGGACATCAGAAATTGGCTCAAAAGGTCAAAAAGATTTATTAAAACGAAATAGCGATGAAAGAACTGCAGCCGATGCAGCTGCTGGCGACCCTGCACCTGCCGTTGCAGCAGCACGCTTGACCTCGGCAAACCCCAGGGCTGAGTTAGCGAGCCCAAGCCTTGACTCATCAAGGCGGCCGCCACCAACGCTGTCCTCTGAGGCACAGCTCCTTGTTGCCCCTACCGTCACCACCTGCGTTGCCACACCCTGTACCACACCCGCCAGCATCCTCCTCCTCCGTGCCGGTGCCTCCACTACAGACGCTACCTTGCAGCACATCAACAGGTACTATTGGGCCAGCAACCGCTCAAAGACCAACAGCCCCAGATGATCTTGGGGTTAATAAACCCAATCAGGTGAAACTGGATCGTTATCAGGGAGATTGTTTTCAGGAAAGAAGCGCACTTTAGCCGCTGCATGGTACACAACAGACCATGGCTTGAATATTCGTTAAGCAGACGCAGCCTTTTGTTTCCCCTGTAGACAGTTTAAAGTAAATACGTCTTCATCTGATGCGGCTTTTACTGTCAAAGGTTTTTGCGACTGGAAACACGCATTAGACTGATAAAGGACTGCTAAGACATGCCGCATCAAAAGAACACATTTCATGTGAGAGTTTGTGGAGAGAGAGACAGATACGCAAGGAAACAAATAAGGAAATAAGTACTTTGGTGCAGATCAGCTGCACGGAGCCGTTATTACGTGTCAGCTGTCGTTAATATTATAGCTTTTTTAGCTGTCAACCAACTCCCTCTCAGAGGTGACCACGATTCACTCTACAGCATGTCCGAGTGCAGTGCAAAGGAAAATAAACCATGCCCAAGGCGGGCTAAACAGCTCATCGTCTCCGTCTCTATTTCTCTCCGAGTGCAGCGATGAGGAAGCTGCCATCCTTAACCAGTGTGCCTTGCTCGTGATTTACCAGTGTTTTGTGCTGCCACGCACACAATGTTTCAAAAGTGGTTTCTATGTTGCCCTTTATTTGTGTATGTATTTACGATAAGTGTGCGTCTTTACACAATGCTGTTGGCCTTGCTGTTTGATATATATTGTGCCCGCAGCACGTGACTCTTTTGTGTGCCCTCCCATGAAAACCATATGCCCTCCCTTTAGATTTGTTCTGGCGCCGGGTCTGGCTATAACACAAACGCATCATTATCCTTCTCACAATTGCACTTATTGAACCCTTGAGATGAAAACAATAAAAGGGTGAATATAAGTGAGGCTTTATGTAAATCTGCCCTGCTGGAGACCAGTCAGATAACCCTCATTATTGTTCAAATTCTTATCTCATTCCACAGACCCAGCTTAGTGACTGAACACCTGACACTACAGTGTTTGAATGAAACAGAGTACGTGCTGATATTAATGGAATGTGGTAGTACTTGAAATATATTGCTTAAAGCCATTTACTTCACAACACTGCAGAGCTTTATTAGCATAACCTGCTTTCCACACTATTACTGCTTCTGTTAATCCTACACACCCCTTCCCCCAGCCTGCTCTCTGTGTAATGTGAGTACAGTCTGCAGGTGTGTCTCCGTACCGTGGTGGCGAAGCAGGACAGCTCCTCCTCACTCTCACTCTCCGTCTCAGCTCTCGGCTCGTCCCCTTCCTCGCCCTCCTTCTTCACCTCTGTTAAAAAACACACATCAACACGTTTCAGTCAGGACTTTTTAAAACCATATCATTAAAATCGAATACCCCTTTGCAGTCAAGGAAAATTAGCATGAATGAAAAGACGTCCAAGACTTCGTTTTCAAAAATAGTATTCTCCATCCACGCCTTCTTTATCAAGTGATGCAATTTAATCTAACTATACATCTAAAACATATCTACAGTTATCAGTATAAAAGGGCAAAGAAAAGCTGATCTCATTAGATTCAAAACTCCTTGTGTTACACTTCCTCCTCGCGTGCTTGAATCCTGAAATACAAGCATGCGTTTCAATAGCTGCAGGGTTTTAATTTGATGTAGTGCACGGCGAGTTAGACCCTTAATCTAAAGCGTGAAGGTGTCAGGGTGGCACTCACTCCTCTTGTCGTGCTTGCGGTGCTCGGTTTTTCCCTTCATGCTGTAGTCCAGTTTCATGAAGATCGGCTCCAGGCCCGTGTACATCCTCTGGATCAGTTCATGGTACACCACCAGCGGCCATAACAGCACGCTCAGCACTGAACAGGTGCACAGACAAAATATTTAGACGGCCTCTTCCTTCATGAGTATCAAAGCAAAACGCTGCATATTCGCAGGGGGCATGCAAACAAAACGGCTGACTATGTAGTGAAGATCAAGCTGCGTTATCTAAATGTGAAGTTTTAGCAGTTGATTTGAATAAAATATCCTCTCACTACAAATATTAAAGAATTACCTATTAGATAGAAGATTGGGTTGCAATAGGATACCTGATATTTAGCACACACATTAACAGGGAAGGCCAAACCACAGGGGAATGGTATCCTTATCTATTATCACACACCCTCTGTTAGTCAGGACAAACACACAGTCCAGTGTAAATGAAGGGCTGGAGCACAAGAGTTGCTTTATGTCCATTAGAGACTCACCAATAATATAGGAGATCATGATTCCAGGTACATAATGTCCAACCACAGCGAGTACAAAACAGCTGCTGCACATCATCCCACAGAACTGGGAAACAGAGTAAGTAAGCAAATTCGTTTTTTTACATTTTAAAGCAGCACGGGGTAAAATAAGGAAGTGAAACATGGCATGTGTGCAGGTGTGTTTGATGGAAGAGGACGTCTGGTAACTGCAGCGCCAGCTAAAATCAGACAGATTGCACCATGCCTTGTAGATTTACAATGTGAATTTGCATTTATTAACCAAGAACACAAACACTTGGAGAACATGTGACAATAGGTGTCGACAGGGTGTACCTTGCCATGGTTCTGCTGTTTGTACTGCAGCGTCTCCTGCAGGTACAGACGGTAGGTCAGGAAGCCCTCAGCCAGGTGGTGGCTGAGCTCAGGGACACTGAGCAGGTGCTGCTCCACACTCATCGTGTGGCTGCACACAAACAACAATACACACAGAAAACAACATTTGAAAAAAACACAAAGCTGTACTTAAAGGGCTTCAGACTGTACTTTAATGCTTGCAGAGGTAATGCATGTGTCCATGTTATTGTAATGACACAGATGAACACCAATATAACAGACTAAACTTGACTGGTAGCTTAACATTTGTTGTGATTATATGTATGGATATGTAAAACATGACATGAATTACTTCAGGATATGAAGACATAAGACCAGCATCATGAAGAAAAAACTACAATACAAGTCATCTGTTTATCATGTACACACTACACACCTTACAGGGGGAGGCTCTGCATGTTGAACTGCAGTGGGAGAAAACACACAATTAGCAGCTGATTGTAAACAAGCTTTTCAAGACTATTACAGAGCCTTAAGGAGTGAACAGAGCACAGGAGATTTTCATTCAAGTTACATAAAGGGCTTACTGGTAATGATGGGCATCTTGGGCTTCCATCTCTCCAGCAGCATGAGTCCCAGCAGGGACACACTCAGCAGGAACAGAGGCCGCAGGGAGGTGGATGACAGCAGCCTGTGGAGACACACACACAGTCTGGATGATGTTCAGCAAATAAATCATATCATGTCACCAAGTTAAAGTCAATACATTTGCACCTCTGTTGGTAAGCTGTCACTGTCAGCTGGTGACCAGGGCCTGGGCCAGCGAGCATGACATGAGTGCTTGTTAGGATTAGGCTGTGTAACACCTCAAAATAACTCCTGTTATCAATTATGTCTGCACAATAGTGTTTTATCTGACAGTGTGTAATGCATGACGCTCAATTTTCCTAGCTGAAAATTAATTTCAAACTGTTTTGCAAACTGCGTTAGCATTATGCTAAATACGTGGGATTAGCTTATTTTGACCAATCTTCTCGCAGCTAACTCAACGCAACATTATTGAGATGTCACAAAAAGGTGAACACGTGACTAAGCTCGGATGGTTACCAGAACAATGTGTTGAGTGTCAAGGCGACACAGATGCTGCACAGCGGCCTCTCCCACACCAGTAGCCGCTGCACCCATAGCAGGATGGGCTCGTACTGCTGGAGCCAGCCCTGGAGTCTCTCCCGCAGGAGGACCAGCTCCGGGCTCGCGTCCCCGCAGATCTGCTCCGAAGTCCCGGCAGCGAACAGAGACTCAAGGCCGACCGAGGAGGAGGTAACCGAGGGGCGTCTTCTGGCCTCCTCTCCACTCGCCATGTTCCCCCACTTTGTTATGTTGTTGGGATATCACGGGGTATGTGGAAAGAACAGCGTCAAGTGTGACATTCTTTAAGAAATATTGAAACATCCGGTTTTGACTTTCAAAATAAAACCGGTTGCCTAACCTGGTTCACATAATACCAACCTGAATATCGTGAAAATAGATGTATTTTGTCAATGTAAAAACATTATTTAAAAATGGTATTATTTGCATATTATTACCAAATATCACATTTAGTAACATTCTCAACTTGAAGTACAGACTTGATGTCAGGCACGCTTACTTTATTTTGAAGGCTATGTTAATTTCCGGCCTTATCATTGATTATTTCTGGAACCTTGATGGACCAATGGCACAGATGGGCGGACGGATCACAAGGCCCGTCACGGACGAGAAAAAAACAAAACATAGTCACGTGTTTCCTTGTTGACTGAGACGGAACGGGCCAAAGCCATCGAGAAGCATAAGCCCAAGCATAAAGGTTAGGACACTTCAAAACTGCAAAAGCTCTCCTTAACAAGCACACCCTATCACTTCTGCTGCAGCTACTTTTCCTTCTGCAATACCTATTACTCATTGTATATGAATAGAAAAGGCACAACAGCAAGTTTTGATACAAATGTTTATTACAGAAATAAAAACATATTGATCAATTTGATCAAATGCAGCCAAAATTGACATCATGCTGGAGACCTATAGAGAGTCGTAGTATCAAGGTCAGCTCACTGTCCTTTGTTGTTACCTGAACACAGCACACAGATCATGAAAGAAATCTTTGTGTAAACAACAGCTCATCGTCCCATGTGATCTCTCATTTCAGTCACACATAGATTTCTGAAAGAAATGAGCAAAAGCCATTTCTGTGGGTTTCCTGAAAAATGATATTTGCTTGCAAGGCATCAGTCAGAGCACATGCATGTCTGTGTTTGGAGTGGATGTAAAAGCACCATTAGATGTTCTGTTAATTAACAATAAAAGCAGTGGTAAAGGCTTCTGGATGCTTGTAAGGCAACAGTATAAAAGGGGGGGTTGGTTTGGGTAAAAGGCTCGAGAGCCTACCTGGCTGGATACGCTTCCAGGGCTCAAGTCTACACAGCTGGTAAAGGGGAGACGGCCCCTCTGGCCCCTGGTGCTAGGAATAAAGGGCATTAATACCTGCAGGGGAGAGCACCATGGCCTGCAGCAGGTCGGACAGAGAGATGATGCCCCTCACCACGTCAGACCTGTCCACCAGAACCAGCCGATGGACCTGGGGTTAGGATGGGAATTCATTATTTTTTATTTCATGATAAATATTTCAGAACACAGTCTTTTGAAGATAATATCTACCTCAGCTTTGACTATACGATCTAGGATGATTTCCAAGGTTTCATAAGGGTAGCATTTAATCACTCCTTCAACAAAACATGAGCGCCTGCGAACAACCTCGTGCATAGGCATGTCCAGATTGTTGTAAATCTTCTGGGCTGCTATATTCTACCACAGAGTAAACAAAATGTCAGCAAACAATGATACGATATTTTAAAATAGTACACTTTAGGGTATTGCACTTTGAGATCAGAAATAGAGCCGTCGGATTACTTACAATCACATCAAATCTTGAGTAGAGAGACACCACTCTGCCTGAGAAACAAAATATTGACAGCTGTTCAGGATTTCCTTAATGTATTTAACTCTAATACCCAGTTATACAAATAAATAAAGCCCTATAATACCTTGTTCATCCACCACAGGTAGTGCAGACACCCGTCTCTTCACAAAAATGGAGAGGGCATCGAACAGCGTGGCAGTTTGCTGAACAGTGGCGATGTTAGTAAATGTCCCAATCCTCAGCTCCTGGATCTGCCTTCCAATGAAAGCAGGCTTTGGAACTGTTTTCCCCTAAAACACCATAGAAGAAGAGCATGAATGCATGCAACAAATAAATAAACCAGGTTTAATGTAAGTAAAAAATCATGTGCTCGCTCACAAATATATGGAGGAACTTGAGGATTCTTTTGTGGGTGAGGATGTGCAAGACATTTCCAGACACTGGGTCGATGACTGGCAGCCTGTGGATCTTATTCTTCAGTAACGAATAGATGGCATCAAAAAGACTAAGAGGAAAGGCGTAGAGGATACATTTGACATCAATTCATCTAGAACCAAGAGAATTACAATAGTTTCAAAGATCTGGTTATCACCTGGCTTCTGGAGTGGTGTGAATGAGGAAGCGATTGAAACACTGCAAGTGGACATCTAGACAGAAGAGTAAAGAGAGAGCGCTGTAGATTTACAGAGACGGTGTGCAGACGCATCACTGAGTCGTGGTTATTTACTTTAAAATGAATCACCTCTCCATGTCTCAATCTTGTGGCTCTCCAGCTCGTACATTTGAACCTTCAAAAGGGAAACCCAGAAGTCAAGATATGAATCACTCACCACACCTCAAGAAGGTCAATACAAATATAGAACTAAACATACTGTAAAATGTTAACATTTAACACTGAGTTGTACTGCATGCACTGAACGTGTTCATTCAAACGTTATGATATTCACGGTGTTTCAAATCCATGCTCACCAAGGGGGACTTGTAATAGCAATGCAGGATGTTGATGAAATCTGTAATGGTCAGCATACCTGTGAGAGGAAAGGATTTATGTTTCAATTCCCACTGACCTATACTTTGCAATTTGTCCTCATCTTACCCACAAATCTCTGTAACTTGCTGTCCCATAAAGGTGCCGCCCTCAAGCCGTTTGCCACCAGTGCATAGAAGGCCTTCTTCACCTGTGGAAGTCACACATTCACACACTCAGAGGGAGGATGTAACCTCCTATGTATGTCAGCATGTTCAAAATCTTCTTACTTGTAGTTTGGTATCAAATATGACCAGTTTACAGCTGGTTGGAATGGCATCGTAGCAGCTGTGACTTTTCATGAAATTCATGTAGACTGTGCCGTCAGCCTCTGCGAGAAAGCACACATTGAAAGTCCTGATCTGAACATGGACACACATGGCTACAAACAGCATGATCCATATGCATGTGTACAGACAAAATGGAAACACACATGGTTGTAATCCTACCTTGTTTCTTTACTTCCTTTTCTGGGAGTGACACCTACAACAGAGCAAGCGTAACATTCAAAAGACTTTGACAGAATAGTTTCCCTTGTTTTAATAACACCACAAACACTTGTCTTGTATTCAACCCGAGTATCTCACCTGTGAGGTAGGCTCCATATTTCTGTTGTGTTTCCATGAAAAAGTTGATGTCAAAGCAGCGAAGCGTTAACGGCTGGTGGCTCCGGTCGGTTTGTTACCCTTTCCTCCAAAGCAGTCGGGTCTATATTAGGAACTCTCAAGTGGTATGTTTCCGGCCAGGCGTGGATGGGAGGGGCACAATAACATGGCACAGGCTCAAGGGGGAGGGACGACGACTGTTCTGCCAAAACAGGACATCTGCTTAAGACACATCAGGAATGCATTGGCCTGTCATCTCATATCCCAAAATGTGCCACCTTTTACTGGCTTAAGCAGAGAGTAGCACACCCTCCAAGATGGAGCTTCTGGCATAAGATTAATCCTTGAAATGTTATCTCTTGTGATCTCAGATGACAATGTTGTTAAAAGATGATTCACAAATGTCCCAAAGAAATGCATCCTTTATTATTTCTACAGATTTGTACAATATTTGCATTTTACACCATGTACAAAATTAAAGGACTTCGTGCTGTATCAAATTCCGATGTCCAGAGCGATTTTATCGAAGTATCAATTACAAAGTGAATGTCCTGGGGACCGTGTATAACTGTACATGAAAACAAAACGGATTCTTCACATTTTCCTCCGGTGTTCAAAATACACACACTGCTGTTATAGCGGAGTGAAATGTCCTCTTGCAGTGAAAATGGAGCCAGATGTGCAAAGTTCAGACTGCATCAACAGAGAAACACTTCTGCTAGCTTGTAACGTTCTATTCAAAATGTTATCTTCAGAAGCACCCGGCAGACATTGCGTCCATGAAACCCATCGTATGTATACACTTTTCCCATGTAGGCTAATCTCTTAAATGTGGCTACATGACCCTGTTACACATGGCATTAAGGTTGTGTGACATCCTGTTGCTATATAGAATCTGGAAGGTTTACACGCTATAAATGACCAGAATAAGGTACACTGAGGTATGGAGACGTTGCATTCAAATGGTCTTTTCCCTTTCTTTGACGCTTCCTCTTGAATAAAAGGGGAGAGTTTAAAGATGGGAGACAATTTGTTTTACAAACTAAGTCAAATCTGGTTTATAAAATCAGTGTTTGATGTAAAGCTCCCGTTGCATACATGACAAATAGATGGTAAAACTAGGCAAATATGGATAAGCAAAAGTAAACTGCTTTAATCCCTTCTTCTCACGGAGCAAATTTAAAATAACAACTCAACTTTCAGATACGCTGCGAAACCTCCGAACACTTCCATGAACTTGCCTAGTAACAAGCAGCCTTAATATAATATTTCAGCTGTAATATAATAACTCAAAATACCACACCCATCACAAAGGCCCTGTGTCACCACCTGGCAGATCTGAACTTCCAAACAATATTAAAAAGCTTAGCAAAACAGTTTGGTTGCAGCCAATGAAAAACAAACTCTCCTGCATTTAAAACCAGTTGCAGAGAACTAAGAGAACACTATGGCATTTTACTTATGGCAAATGTATTCTGCAGTGCTATGCTGTAAGTGAACTTCCACCACCTCACTCCTACTGTGCCTCATACCTCTCTCCTTTGCACCTGTATTCTAGATCTGGAAAAGTAAACAAAAACCTGACGTCAAACAGTCATGAGTAGAATGCTGGTTTCATTTCCAGAGTCCGTCACCACAGGTCCACAGCAGCCATGTTTCCTGTCACTACCCGGGCATGAGCAGAGCTTGAGCTTTATCGACAGGCAGCATAGTCTCTGCAGGGCGACAGGGTCCCAGCTGTAGAGGGGGAAACAGGCGAGAGTTCAGACCTGACCCGGCCCCCCCAAGGAGCCACGACGCATGGTTATCAAGGGGGCCGTGAGTAAAGACTGTTGAGGTGTTTCTAAGCCCGCACTCGAGACGAGGAAGGGACGCCAGACAGCCGGGACAGAAGAAGGAGACAGGAGACCAGGTCTGGGGAGGACCAGGATCAGTTTCAGGATGTATGTGACCCATTGAGGCGAGGAGGGACCCCCAGAGACACAACACTGACGTCTGGGAGGTAACAGGTGGTGGACTGTGCTCTTCTTCCTGGTTGATTCCAAGTGTTCCGGTCTGACGGTTCTCACTCTTGTTAGCGGGAACACAACAGGGGAGGCGCGGGGCGGCAGGAGAAGCTTTCTCATTGAGGTCGGGGGTCTTGAGGTCTGGGATAATGTCAGCTGGACGCTGGGCCTGTCCGCTCCTGGAGAGACTGAGCTGGTGCAGCACGGCGCTGGTGGCGATGAGCCCGGCAACACTGGTCAGATACACCAGGCCGAGCATACAGGACACCTGGAGATAGAATCAATACGGATTTACGATACACCTGAAACATCTCAAGCATACATATCACCCCGGCTGCTTTGAAACAAACTCCCTCCCACCTTGGTGAAGTGCTGGCAGATGGCTGCGAGGGCTTGGCTCCAGGCTGATTGTTCCAGAAGCACACAGAGGTCGGTGTAGGTGAACCAGCCGCGCTTCATTCCCTGCCGCTCTGCAATGCTGCGGATACAGAAATACTGGTTACGCCAGAAACAGTGCTTTCAAAAAAATCTACTTTCTCATGTTTTGTTTTACATGTAGGATTGCTTGACTCAAGAACAACTGTGTATAATGTCAAAACTGTAGCGCAGGTTGAAAGAGAAGACTACCAACCTGGTTTCCACTTGACTTAGTATATCAAATAAGTCATTTGGCTCCGTGAAGAGGCTCCACTCCTATAAGATATTACACAATGGTTGAGACGGAGGACTTGACCCACACATGCACGTAAACACCACATAGAAATGCCAACACACTCACGATGGCATTCAAGAAGTTCATCTCCAGGTTATTGACCGTTTTCACGTCCAACTTCCCAGCTGCTCCCCACTCGTCGTTGAAAACCTCTTCTTCCTCACCTTCGTCATACAGGTACTTGCTGGCAACCATCTTATTCAGAGAGATTTGTTAATGCATTATCCTATTTACATGATTAATTCAAGATAACAGAAGTAGAATGACAACAGCACGTATTAAACTCCATTCTGAAATGAGCAGTGCCCATGCCAGATATCACAGTGACACATTTGGATTGACCCATGACTCCAACACACATACCATGGAGATCAGGAAGAGGTCAGAGGAGGAGATCTTTTGTAGGTATTCAGGGTTTCTATGTCGGAGCCTTTCAATGTAAACAAGAGCCAGCATCATGGCACACGGAGAGATGCAAGCTTCCCTGCAGCAGAAAATAGAAACGTTTTTACGAGGTTTGACTGGCGCAGGGCCACACTCACTGCCTGTAGCAAGGCACCATCGATGCATAGAAGGACAAACCTGGAAACATGTGCCGCATATTTCTTCTGGAGCTTTCTGATGGGGCTTGGGGCAGACTTCTGGAAGATTTCCACAGCGATATCTGGCATCGCAGAGAGTATGAAGACAAAGTTAACACAACAGTGGTGGAATATAACTAACTACATTTATGGAAGTATTGTTCTTAAGTAAAAAATAAATAAATGGAGGTATGTTTTTACACATTTAGTGACTAGTTACTTTGTCAATTTGGGTTCTTAATACACAAATATAAAGTATAAACATTAAGCTACCTAGTTGTAGATAAATCAAATAAACCCCACTTTCTTTTAGTGGAACATTGAAGTGACGAACACATTAATGCACCAATAATTATAATATATAGTACTTAAGTTGGCCATTCAGCATTGTGAGTACTTTTGATACTTTAAGTATAATTGGATGCTAATACTTTAACTGTAGACGAGTATTTCTACACTGTAGTATTGCTACTTTTAAAGTGAATCCTTTTCGATACTTCTTCCACCTCGTGTACTATCACAATCTATTTGAGTTTTTAATGTATTGTGTACATGTCGCAACAACTTCACAGATGTCCTGACATTGATTATAGCAAATCTGCCAAACCCTTGTACCGGAAGTATTTATTATGGAGGTGTGCCAGAGAGGAGCTGAGTCAGTTATGTACCAACATTGTTAAAAAGCTCATATTTAACTCACCTGTAACAGGGCAAGAGAGGGCATCTAAAGAGATGTCTTTGTCCAGACCATAGTACAGGCGCTTCCTCACTCTGTCTGTCAGCCTCTGGTGTCCAGGAAGGAACTGCAACACAACAGCATGGACATTACAAAAAGCAATGATTAGGGGAACTAACGTTAAACAGGTAGAATATTAGTAAAGTTAATTAAAACACTCAAGAGTAAATAACATCCTACTTTTACATTTTGTTAGCTGTAATTGGCCCTTCGTAGTGTTTATTTGACAATAAGTCTACAGATTTGTATCCGTCACAGTCAACTAGTATGTATTTTACTTTATAGTTCTGTTATATTGTCTATTTAGAGACGTTTATATTTGATGTTTGTTTACTTTCTAATCTTTTTATTTCTCAAATGATGTGCAAAGCCTTATTTTAACCTGCTGCTGTTACGAAAACGTGTCTCAATTTGGGATCAATAAAGTACATCTTATCTTATTTATCTTTACCCAGTTCTCGTTATACCCACATGTTTACAGGAAGTGTGGCCCATACGCCATATTGTTTAACATTAGCTCTATGCTAAGCTAACGCTAGGCCTGTCGATTGTCAACAGGCGCAAAATGACAGTAGCTAACAAAGTGCTGTCGTTTAGAGCTTGGTCTTTTTATGAATGTTTTTAAACGACACATTGTTCAGGTGGAATAAGAAACAATTTAATCAAACTAAATCACAGCTATGTTACCTAATGTCCCCGGTCAGTGTATTATGAGGAACACAATGTTACCAGCTGACAGAAACTAATGCGCCTAGCTTTAGCTTCCGTACTTTGTTGACCGAGCTACTCGACAACATACCGTAAACTCCTGGAAGTCCGAGAACTGAAATGTCTTCTCGTTGAATAAAGCGTCGAAATCCATATTTACTATAGATTATACATTAGTCCACTGAATGTTGAAGAGACGACTGTTTTGGCCTCCGTCCGTCTGACAAGGAGAGCCCGAATAGCAACACGCCCCGACCCGGGACACAGAGGCAGCGTCGAGCAATGCCGCCATCTTGTGGAGATACAGCCACACATATTGACAGGGAGATATCTGAAGACTATCTGTCAAATACACACTAGAAAGGGCTAATTACAGCAATCAACATTTAAAAGTAGGATATTACTTACATTAAGTGTGCATGGAATAGCATATTCAATTAAATGCAAAAGGTCTGAGGGTTATTCCTAAAATAACTGGTACATTTCACAGGCTGGAATACATGGAAAACAACTTTTATTTTTTACAAGTCAAATGAGCAATA